CCCCAATTCCAATGAAGTTGGGACGTTGTGTGAAACGTAAATAAAACCTGAATACAATGATTTGCAAATCCTTTTCAACCTATGTTCAATTGAATACACTACAAAGACAAGATATTTAATGTTCAAACTGAAACTTTTTTGTTATTTGCAAATATTTACTCACTTTGAATTTGATGCCTGCAACAAATGTCGTCCCGACTTCGTTGGAATTGGGGTTGTATATTTCAGAAAGTTAAGAAAAATAAAAATAATGGTTTAAAAAGTGGTGGGGAAAAAAATAAATGACACCTATGGATTTTCCATAAAAACACATGTGAAAAGCTTCTAAAATACTCTGGACTCTTATTCCAGATTATCATTTTTACACTAAAAAGTCTCCGTCAATGGCCCCAGGGAAAAAATAAATATTCAAATTCATGGCCGTATTAATTTATTATATAATAATGATTCACTGACCTGAGAGACACAAGACACCCAGTAGGATCCTCTCCATCATCGTGCTGCTCTGAGGTTTGCGTGTTTGTCCATTTAAACCACTAGGAGGATTTTTGCATTTTATATGCAAAAAGCAGTGTGAAGGCAGACTTATGAAAATGTTTGTGTCCACAGTGTGTTTTCTGTCCTTGGCATGTTTATTTGTTGGGGTCAGTTCACCTCAGTTAAAAAACAATTATGTTCTCACTTATCTCAGGTGGGATCAAGCCATGAAGACGGTTTGGTTTTTATTTGACCTGCATAGAAAGAGATTTCTGCCTCCATCCCAACACATTGAAGGTGAACAGAATTTATTTTTTAGCGTATTTAAAAGATTCCACAGCTTCCAGAGACAGGGTCCCCATTACTTTGGGGTCCACATTATCCAGAGAATTCACTGTCAGCAGATTTCATTGGGACTGTGTCTTCAGTAGAAAGTAGTTCCAGTGAAACCTGTTTACAGAGAAGCTGGATGTTTGAAATGTTGATTTATTAATAAAGTAAAAAAAAAAAAAGAAATGAAGGAAATAACATACTTAATGTGTCATGATAATCCAAGTTTATCTTATCACACAGAATGTGAGTAAGGAACCTGCAGCCATGCAAATATGTTGTATTTGTTATGCAAAGGCAGAGTGAAGAAAAGGAGACTGTGTGACTCCATCTGTGTTTGACAAACTAATATAAGAACATCCTGAGGTTTATACAGGGTGACAAACAGGAAATTAAAGTTAAATTTAATTAAAGTTAAAAAGTTAATTAAATGTATTTGTTACTCACGCTGAATGAAGACAACTTTCATTCAGGCGCCAGATGATTTGAATATAAACTGTAATACACCAAAAGAACAGTCTAAGATGAATACAGCCTTTGTTAAGGTCCACTATCAGGACATGTATGTTCAAACTGGGGTAACCTGCTCCTACATAAACACTAATACACAAAACCATGTGCAGTTATTTACAGGCTCCACTTGATAAATTATAAAGATTACAGTGCCACTCTCTGACTTTACAGAGCTGCTGTGAGATCAGGTGAGTTTTTTACTCCCTTTCAAGTGACACGAAACATTTTAAAGGATGATAATCAAAAGCATAGTGTAGACTATTAAGGTGGGCTGACCAAGATCCAGTCCACGCCAGCTGCTCCTCTCTGTCACTGACAAAGGTCACAGGTCTGTTACACCCTCTTTCATTTTAAAGGTTCAGTATGTAGGAGTAGGCTCAGCCAGAGCGAGACAGCCAAGGCCACGTCTCCTCCAGTATAGCGGGACGAAAGAGCTCGCTGCTTCGGTTGGGTTGGTGAGAAGTCATGTTTAAGACTTGCTGCTAAACAAAACGCTCGTTTTTCGGTCCAAAAATTGGATAAACACCGACTTTTTATGAGGAAAATGCAAAAGAAGTGACCAGAATACACCAGAGGAGAGAAAAAGAGGGAAAAAGGAGAAAGAGAGAAGGAAGGAAAAGAGATGCAGTTTGAAGAAGGAGCTCAGAAAACAGCATCAAGCTGAAGAGAAACAAACAAGAAGAGCAAACTGCTGGACACTGAAATCAGTAAGTTTTTGCATTTATTACCAAAAAACGAGTCCCGACTGAAACACTCAAGCTAATAGCTAACAAGCTAACACTGGACTGTGGTTACCTAGCAACAGCATCAATAACAGCAGAACACAGAAGCTTGAAGATCAACAACTGTTTCATGATGTCTCCACACTCTGAAACCATCGACTACCCCCCAGCTATCAAAAGCAAAACTGCAAGAGGAAAATCTAAACAAACATTACTCAGAGAAAGACCAGAAATCCTGTTCCTGGACCACTACAAAGATGAAGATCCTGCAATTTAATCTTCTGGACGGATGAACCGTGTACCCAGAAATAAAGAGAGCAGGCATTTGTAATGGATGGAAGAAAATGACTCTGACACCAGCAGAATAACAGTAAACCTGTTCAAACATGGAACTGCCACGATACAAGGAGACCTGAGACAGTTTGAGCTCGACTTTCCTGCTAAGGAGGTCCTCGCAA